ATGTACATGTTTATATGATTCAGAGAATATCACTTATGAATTATTTTGGTTTTGATCCACATCACCATTCTACCTTCTTTAAGTTTTCTTGATTTCTTTCACTTTTGTTTTCATTATTTATAGGGATAAGTAAGTTGTGACTGTGTATTTGTTTACTAAAATGTTTTTTAATTGTTACTGTGCATTTTAATTATGATCAACATATTCTTAGTAACCATAAAGAAAATATAAAAGCAACTTGCAAATTGCTGTGAATATTCTGTACTTCAGTGTATTAACAGTATATAAACTCAGTGTCCCTTACCCCTAGATGAGTAAATCTGAGTGATTTTATTCTTTAAATCTAATGTGAACATAGGTGGCATTTGGTCACATAACTTATCCCTGTGATGACTTTATATGCATTCTTCAATTTATAAATTTTATTACTGAGTAGGGGTGTATATTCCAGTAGTTTACTAGTACATTAATGTCACAATACATTACAAGTTAGTTAACCAGAGCTGCCACTATAAATAGAAAAATAGTCACAGCCCTCACTATAAACTGCTTAATAAAAATAAGATCCTGAATCAGCATTCTCCATTATAGTGTAATTTTTCTCATTGTATGTCTCATTAATCAAGACTTTAAAAAATCTTCATATAGAAGCACTATTATTTTTAAAGTTTTCATTACTAAACCAAATTTGTTACAATTCATATAGGAATTTAAGATAGGTGATTTTATATGTCTATATGCAAACTAGTTCTACATGCTTTTAAGACATATTTTTCAATTTTCTGTATTATAATTGGAAATGAAAAGGGACTACTTTGGTAATTTTGTGGCAGATTAGTAAATGAACACATCGAATTTCTTAGCAGGACTCATTAAGAGTTGCAGTTCTGAAGACTATGTATCTTCACTAGTTAGCTTTTTTCCAGCCTTATTGTATTTTCCAACTACTGATATGCAAAATACCCTATTCCAGAATCACTTCTATACAGTAGACCTTTGCCTTACAATGATATTCCATTCTACAGACTAGACTATATAGTGAATCCACCTTAATAAGAACCCAATGATTTCTTGATGGTGCATAATTTGCACTTTTATACAG